CGGGGCTGGCACAGAGAGCCCCACGAGGGCCTGAATCGGGGACGCAGGCGGTTACAGGCCTGTTTGGTGTACGTGCTGCCTGTCCTGCCATTGGGCTGCAGTCTGGGAGCCCAGGTCAGGGCTGACACCAGGAAGCCTTTGACTGATGGCCTCTCAGGGTGGAGACCCCAGGCACTTCTGGTGTGCCTGGTACCAACGACACTTGGGGTGCAGGGGTTCCAGGGCCCTGCTCGCAGCGAGCCACAGCGACACATGAACTCAGCTGTACAGGGGATGCAGAGTCTGGAGAGAGCCCCAGCCGAGACTGCTTGGAGGGCCGCCCTGCACCCCCTGGAGCCAAGGCTGGGGCAGCTGGCGCGGGCTGGGACTTTCCTGGTAGCACCGCCATCCTGTGCAGGGTGGGCACAGTGCATTGCACTCTGGCCGCCAGCATCGACGCCTAACCAGGAGCAGAAGGGGTGCCTCCTCCAGGGCAGACCTGGGGCCAGAAGGCAGCCCTCTGTTCCTAAGTGCTTCAGGGCAAGGGGCTGGAGAGGGCCACACGCAGTGCACGCTGGACCACCCAGGAATGGGGGCTGCGGCCCAACCTGCAGGCCTCCCATGTGAGTGTGAAAGGTCCAGCTGGCCAGTGCCACAGAACGCCCGGGCCTCGAGGCCAGGGGGACCCCAGCACTATAGGCAGCTCCTTCCCATCTTCTCCCTGGAGCCGTCAGCCCCATGGCCTCCTTTTATGAGGGATTTTTGCTACGGGGCATGTACACTCACTAGAGAAGTAACCCCTGGGCAGGAGGGTGGCCATGTCACAGTCTTCTCTTCTCCTCAGGCTCTTGGGCACTCAAGCTCACTTGCCCAGCATGAGTTTTTGTTTATTTCATTTAACTTTACATTTTATTTAGACCAGAGAGGGACAGAAAGAGGGGGGAAGTGAGAAAGTAAGCCACCAGGTCCAGGACTCGAACCAGGGTCAGCCGTGGGGGTGGGGGAATCCGGCACCTTCAAGCACCACACCACCAGCTGACCCTCCACCCTCATTTTGAGTTTTAAGCCACCAGATCTGAGACTGGAACCATAGTTGGCCATGTGGGAGTGCAGGGACGTAACCATTATACCAACTGTGGGTCCCCAGCCCCATGGCTTTCTGCAGGCTGGCCTCACCTTGGAGGCCTTCAGGCTTTAGCAAGCAAGGACTCGGGTCAGGAGCGGTGGGGGGGCTCTAAGGTAGTCTCCCTGCCCCCCTAGTGCGGGGGGGCGGGACGCAGCGCTCGGGAGGTTCCAGTTTCGCCCAAGCCCACCACGAGTGGCTCCACCTCAGACCCAAGCACCTGCTTGACCCCTTTTCCCCAGTCTGGCCAGGCCCTGCCCATCCAGGGTATCGAAGGGTAGGGTGGCAGCAGCACCTGCTCCTACCCAGTGCAGAACTCTGCCTTATTTTATTATTTTTTTATAATTATTTTTTGATTTGACCAGAGTGAAACGGAGAGTGAGAAAGCAAGCTGCCAGATCTGGACTCAAACCAGTTTGCTATGTGGGAGTCCAGTGCCTTTAACCACTACACCACCTGCTGGCTCCTAGAAAGGCTGCTATTGCCACTTGGTCCACACACACACACACAGGGCCCCTCGAAAGTCTGTCACTGCCCACCCCCACACCCCAGGTCCTACTGGGTGGCGCAGAGAATGGGCAGGGCCTCTTACCCACACCAACCCCTGCTAACAGGCCCTCTCCACCCTCAGCAGCCTGGAGCTCCCTGAACTGGTCAGGGGCTGTCCTGAGAGGGCATGGGGGGGGTCTCACAGCATATCCTGACACCAGTCGGGAGGCCCACCAGCCAGGAGGCCCACTGGCCTGCAGGCTCTGGGGAGAGGGGCCAGGCTTTGTTTGAGACTAATTGGGCCAGTCCTATGTAGGGCCAGTAGGTGGCACAGTGGTTACAGTGACTGTCCCACAGGACTGGCTGGCAGCTCTCAGATCCCAGGGCACCAGGGTATACATGTGCCCCGAATCCTGAGAATGGAGGATTGTGGTGTGCCCATCCCCAGGGAGGGGTTTCTCACTTTCCCTCTGGGTAGCATGTATGCCCTGTAGCAAATTAAAAACAGAAACATGCAGGTGCATAGTGATTAAGGAGCTGGACTCCCACATGGTTCAAAGCCTGGACCTGGCAGCTTGCTTTCTCACTTTCCGTCCCCCCTGGTCAAATTAAAAAATAGTAACTGGGACCAGCAAATGATGTGTAATGGTTGTCGCTGGCCTCCTACGTTCAAGTCAGTTCAAGTCACAGTCCTGGCGGCTTCAAACTCACGCCAGGCATGTGTGCATGCATGCTCCAAATCTCAAGAGAATGGAGCAGGGATTGCAGCATGGTCACTCCACTAAGGGGTGATTTCTCACTGTCTATCCAGCAAGCACATGCACCCTACAGCAAAAATCTCTCTAAAAATATTTTTTTTTTGAGAGGTTTTTTCGCTATAGGGCACGTGCGCTTGCCAGACAGAGACAGAGACAGAAAGCGAGAAATCACCCCCCCAGGGGGGATGGCCACACCGCAATCCCTTCTCCTCCATTCTCCTCTCGGGATCTTGGGCATGCATGCACACGCGCCCGGCGTGCATTTTAAGCCACCGGGTCCAGGACGTGAACCGCGGTCGACTACGTGGGAGTCCAGCAACATAGCCATTACGCTAACTGCTGGTTCCCTCTAAAAATAAATTTTTAAAGAATTATTTATTCATTCTTTTTTCTTTTGGAGAGGTTTTTGCTATAGGGCATGTGTGCTCACTAGAAAGACAGAGGGGGATGGCCATGCTGCAATCCCTTCTCCATTCTCCTCTTGGGGCACGCACATGCGCCCAGCGTGAGTTCAAGCCGCCGGTTCCGGGACTTGAACTGCGGTCAACTACGTGGGAGTCCAGCAACATAGCCATTATGCTAACTGTTGGTCCCTATTCATTTATTTTTAATTTAACCACAGAGAGACAGAGAAAGTGAGAAAGCCAGCACCAGGTCCAACTTGAACCATGGTCAGCCATGTGGGAGTGTCCAGCACCTTAACCACCATACCACCTGCTAGTCCCTAGAAATAAATTTTTAAATAATTATTTTATATTTAACTTATTTCAATTTGACCAGAGAGGGAGACAGGGAGAGAAAAAGTGAGAAAAAGTGAGAAAGCAAGCCACTAGGTCCGGGACTCAATCCGGGACTCAAACCACGGTCAGCCATGTGGGAGTCCAACACCCTTAACCACCATGCCACCTCCAAAACAATTTGTTTTATTTTTTAAATTTTGACCACAAAGAGACAGAAAGGGAAAGTGAGAAAGCAAGTTGCCAGCCCTGGGACTTGAACCACCATCAGCCACGTGGTAGTCCAGCACCTTAACCACTGTACCAGCTGCTGGCCCCAAAAATAATTCTTTAAAAAAACAAACACAAAACTTATAGGTATAACTCAGAGCATCACTCACCCACCTGTGGCTGTGCCCACTGTATCTTTTTAAAATAATTATTTATTTATACAGTTATTTATTTTTAATTTGATCAGAGAGGGACAGAGTGGGGAGAGAAAGTGAGAAAGCGAGAAAGCAAGCCACCAGGTCCAGAACTCAAACCATGGTCAGCCACGTGGGAGTCCAGCGCCCTTAACCACACCACCTGCTGGCCCCATGTCCCCACTAACTTTGGCTGTCCCACCATCTCACAGAACCCTCAGGTCCACTTGTCCTCCACTCCTTTGGATGGCCAAATAGTCTGTGGCATGGATCTCAATATTACCACTAATGGACACCACTAACAATACTGACAATGACGTGCCATCCAGAAACCACCTACCCAGCACTTCAGTAACGGAACACGTGCGCCCCTCCCTGGGGCCGAGTTTTCTTTCTCGGTTGACAAGGGGTTCTGTTGTCAAGCATATCCTGGTTTCCCTGTTTGGTCCCTTTGTTCCTTCTCCCCAGCCTCTCAGGCGCCACCCCCCACCCACTGCTCTGGTTGGCAGAGGGCCGAGTGCAACAGGGAGACCATCAGGGTAGCAAGCCAAGGCCCCATGGAGCTGCTGTAGAGACCATGAGGTGGCCAGGGCCAGGCTGGCTCCTGGCTGAAGCCCACTGCCTCCAGACCCACGTGCATGTGGACCTGAGCAGGGAGCTCAGAGTCCAGGTATGGCCCATCAGAAGCACTCGGATTAGCTCCTCAGAGTCCACCCTGCCGTAGTCTGAATGCCTGGTCTCCCTAGGTCCACTGCTGGAGCCCTCACCTCCTGGGGGGTTAGGAGTGGGTCTGAGGATGGGGCTGCAGCCCACCCACACCAGCTCCTCCCATGTGGAGTGTGAAATGGCTGGGGTGCTGGAGGCCCTGCCTGCTCTTTACAGCCGCTGCAAAACTGCAGCCGAAAGCCACGCCGGGCACACGGTGAGAAGTGGCCCCTCTGGCCAGGCCGCATCCTTAGTGTGGTGCCGTATTCACAATTACATGTGCTTCTCTCGTGCTCAGATGGGATGGGGTGGCATCCCAGTGCTTAGATGGGGCCTCCATTAC